CAGCTTCCCAGGCAAGGAAAGAAAAAACATAGTTTGCGGATGATCGCTGATGACCATGGCTCAACCCCCCCCACTGCAGCTGCAGGAACTTGGGCACCTTCCAGCAAAGGCAGGGCGATGTAGCCTAATTCATATCATATTCATGCTTAATATCTCAGAGAAGGCAGAGATGTTGTGCAGGCTCTCCTTGCCTTCAGAGATGAGTGTACACATGATCAGGAACTGCAGCAGGGCTGCCACTATGCCTGTCAAACCCCCATGCTTAAGGATGTGCCTGCACTCAGCTCTCTGTGGAGTGTGACCTGCTTAAACACTGAGGTTGTTTCCAGGGCAGAGCCATCAGAAAAGGAGATGTCAAGACCATGTTTAGGATTTTTAAATTAGTTTTCTTTTTTTTGAAATGTGTCTCGTGGCATAACTGCTGAATAGTGTTTTTTTTTCCTGAGCAGAGCAATCCCATGGTACGTCTGGACGGCAGTCCCGTACAGGAGGCAACCAGCCTGGGGAGGGAGGCGAATACTCAGTTTTGTTGCAAACCTTGTGGTGGCCATCGTTTCTCATCTGGTTATTTTATCTCTCTGTACTCCGGAAGAGGATCTTGACACAGACGGTTTGCAGAGCTGTTTCAGCTGTTCAGACAGCTCAGCCACAATATGTTGCCTCAAATTGTTTTGTTAAGCACATGCATCAGCTGTACTTGTTTGCCTTGAAGCTATGAGAACCACAGACCCTCCTGAGAAAATTCAGCTTCTACATAGACATAAAGAGCTTGACAGTGCTCTTGAATGTACCCTGCTGCACAAGGCAGTGAGCTGCAAACCTGCCATGGCCCATGAAGCTCTTTAGGTTTTAGATGATATCATTAGTTACTGCACTCCCAAAGCCTCGACATCTAGAAGCTGAAGCCAGAACAGCTGTGCCGCTTTATGTCCTTTCAGGATCTAGGTACTCCTTAGAGCTGCAGTGTCTTGGGGATGGGTGCTGAGACCCAGGGTTGCTGGGGGATGCAGGAGCTGATTCCAGAGGCAGGGACATACAGCAGGGCGCGGTCCCCGCTCGGCCAAGCCTCCAGTTTGAGCTGACGGGGTATTTCTGTGGGTGCTCGGTAGCATGAGCATGGGAGGGAGGGCAGGGACTGCTTCTGGCTGGCACATGCCATGGGAGACGCAGCTCCCGGTCAGCGCAGCAGCACTGAACCATGGTCATGGTGGTGTGTAAACATGAGGGGTGATGTTACCCAGCAGTCAGCCTGGCGCCGAATGATAGAGCAGAGGTGTGATGCTTCTCCGCTTAGCAGTACAAAAAGAACAAACCTCATCTATCTTAGAGTGAGAGCGCCATTGTCCCCTCTATTTAATTTTCATGCACTAAATACTGAATTCTGGCGGAAGCGATGCTGCACCTGCTTTCCTCCTCCTCTGCGTCCAAGCACAGATGCTGACACCCAGTGGCCATGGAGTTTCTAGCGCCTGTACGGGATGGAAAACTTCAGCAGAGATGCCTCAGCCGGTGAGATACAACTTCTGCATTTTCATTTGCTCAAGTGCAAGAGGAGTAAAGAGCTGCTGAGAGGTGCCAGCCTTGTTTTATGTCTTTCAGCCATTGGCCTGTTATAGTGGTTGAAACACTTCAAAATCTTGCATTCAGAGGCCAGTCAGAAAAATGAAAAAATACAAGGATGGAAAATGAGGAAACAGAAGGTAAACTGGTTTTCAAATTATTCTCTTGTTAGTAGCTTGAAATAGACCTCAGTGAGAGAAGGAGGGCGATTTTGTGAGTTCAGAGACCTTGGCATTCACCTTCCCTGTTTTGCTACTTCCCCAAAGCAGTTAGAATATGACAGATGCAAATTGATTTTACATTTCCCTGCAGCATGCACAGGATCATGCTTTCATATGTTTGACAAGTATTGACATTCTCTAGGGAAAAAAAAAACACTCTGTAGGAAAGGTTGCTTTTTATTCTTCAACAAATGGCTCTAAGACTTTATCAGTCAAAGACAGAAAGAAGACCCTAAACTCAAGGGTATGGAAAGGAGTTCTCTTTGTTTGGCAAAAAGACATGCCTCACCAGACATGTGGGGCTAAGATGGTAAAAGCACCAGGGAACCCAGACATGAGCAGGGAACAATAAGAGCGGAGTATGCCAAAGGAGGAATTTTGAAAGTGCTTTACTGAAAATATTAATTACGGGCTACAGCAAATGAATTAAACCACTGTAATGCAAATATTGTGTGAAAGAAATACATAATTAGTGTAATTCTATAAACAGGCAAAAAAAGCGTAATACTGAAATTCTAGCAAGGCTCAGGATGTTAGGAAGGACTAGCAGCTGGCCACCTATTAGGATTAAATTTTGCACATGCTGTAGATGTGCTGCTTGTGAGAAAGGGGGTGGGGGTGTCTTGCTGCTGCAGCGAGGACCCTCTGCCAGGGTGAGTTTGGTGAGCGGGGAGCCCCGTGGTGGGGCAAGCCCAGCTTTCCTTACCTAAACACTCCTGTAAAGCTGCAGCATACAGATACCATAAGTAGATGTACTTAATTTATCACTCTGTTACTAGGCAGGTTTCTAGGCAGGCTTCAGCCTAACTTTTATATTTTGTGGTTACTGAAATAGCTCTGATCTTTTCTGGGGTGAGGTCTAGCTGCAGAGGTACAACTTCCATTCCTTTGCCACCTCTTACCTGCACCCATTCTCTTTAATTCTTCTTCCCTTCTTACCTCTTTTTGGACAAAATTAGACTAGAAACTTTAACCCACCTTAAACCCATCCAGGAGGCCGGGGTTCCCGCACCATTCTTCCCACTCCAAATGCCTGTGCCCAGCGTTCCCACATGGTGAAATGGGTGAGATCACATCAGATGTACCCAGGGCAGCAGGGTGGGCTCTAGCTGCCCTCCTCACTTTTCCTCTGCGGGAAGTTCACAATGTACTCATGTGGTTTTTAGTAGATGTTTAAACTTCTTAAGAGGTTGGCAGAACATCAGAGGCCTACCAGGAGTTATTTCCAGTAATAGCAAATCTCAATGGGACTCTTTCCAACAGTTTTCTCTAGTGCTTTTTCTGGTTTTAACCATTATTATTAGTGCAGTAACTGTTGCCCTGGTGGCAGTTCTGAAAACCCATAACCCAAATGCTACCCAGTTCTGTATGTGCCAAAGTCCTCTAGTTCCTGAAAGTACCCAAAAAACCCTAGAACAAGCTTGGCTGAGCATCTCTGCTCACGTGGTGTTGCAGAGCAGCACATCCAGGCTTGGTCCTCCCAGAGATTGCCCTGCCCTGATGGCCTATCACTCTGCAGGGAGGCACACACAGGCCAGCCTCCAGAGCAAGTCAGAGCAAAATATTTGCGCTGTGCCAGCCAGGGGCAGCTGTGGTGAAGGGCTGTGCCCCTTGTCACTGCAAAAATCCCGCTGGAGACCAGAGGGGGAAGGAGGGGGACTCTCTGCACCTGGCAGGAGGGCACCAACCAAAGAACTGCTCTCTCCCATCACACAGAGGAGGAAATGCTGTCCTGAGCCTCCTGCATCTGGCCTGTTGTATGAACCATGCATTCCCTTGAATTGCTCTGATGAGCATGTTTTGGAGATGTCTGCAGGCCGAGTGTCCCTAAGTTGGGGTGGGGCGCTGCTTCTGGGCCAAGCCAGCTTTATTCCTGCTTCCTTTTGCCTACTGTGTTAGATCAGTCAGTGCCTTGCAAGTCCAGCTCCCTTCTCCAATTCTAATGTGCTGCATTCATCAACGTAAAACACAGTATTTCAATGCCTGTTGCATGCTTATGGGTATTTTTAAATGTAAAGTCATCCCATGCTGGCTGGCCAGAAGCCCCAGGAGACAGTAGAGGCAGAGGTTGTGTCTCATCAAAATAACAACAGCCAGGAAACTTCATTTCTGCTCCAGTCTGTGCATAGACCATTTTTTTTCTGGTGCTCTCCTCCTTTGGTTGCTCCCCAAATAATGTTGGGTTGTTGCCCATTTAGCAGTGGAAGCAGCTGATAGTGACTGAATAATTTTGCAGTTGGATGTGTAAGACAGCACTTGCTGTGTTGATTGGATTAGCATGGCTTTTTACATAGCTGATTGACGCAAACTTGATTTTCTCACTGAGTTTCCACTGTTCACTAGAAATTCCCAGTTTGAATAAATGCTTCTGCAAGAAAATATGCTTTCTGGGTTGTTCAGATGAAATGAAAGCACACTAAACCTCTGGGTTTTAGTTGGTTAGTTCTTTGACCAAAAAAACCCAGAATGGGCTTGGAGGACAGTGTCTCATCTAATGCTGACCTTTTTTAAATTTTTTTATCATCATCATAAAGAATGCTTCCTTAAAAATCAGTCAGCAATCTCATCAGCTGAATACATGGTGCTGAGAGACATCTTGGGTCCTTCATTGAATTCTAGTACCAGTGCCAGCTTCCTAGAGAAGTTCCCACACTGTCTTTGCCAGAGTAACCCTCACTTCTCTGAAGCATCTGTCCTTTGCAGTAGCTGTGATCATGCCTTTTTACAGCAAAAGTTTCTCTCCAGGCCTCCCCACTTCAGCTTTGCAACATATAAGGCATATCGGTTAACGAAATAAACAGTTCACAGAGCTCACATTCAGCATTCAGGTGCTCTCAGCAGACTGAGTATTTGGGAGCTAGGAAGATGTGGTGAGAGCGAGGTGGGGTACAGTGGCTAGATGCAGGCGTTTGTACCTAGCATTGTGAGTGAGGTGCTGCCCTTCAGTGTGTGTCCTGTTGACAGATTTCTAGAGTCCTTAAATAAAAAAACCAAACCCACAGAGGAACATGTTATCTTTATTCATGGCAGTTTCCACTGCCTCCTTTTTCTCCCTTGTCCTGTTACCAGAAATGGCTCACTCCAGAGTCAGTTTAAAACTCCTCCAATGTTTTCCTGAGCCCGCTGAGGACTCGACTTGCAACAACAAGCCCCGCTAGTGGAAGCAGGTAGAGAAGACCCACGTGGGCTATAGAAAGCTCAGGGCTTCTCAGCTGTCCTTGGGATGATGTTCTAAGAGCAATCCATCAAACACAAGTAGTATGGTAGTCGCAAGCAGAGTTAGCATCCCACAGATGCATGCAATGGCTTTCCTGCTGGGGATCTGAAATGGGCACAGACTGTTATTCCCAGCACTAAGAGTCAGCTGGGGACACACTGCAGCATCCTCATCACACATCGCTGCATCCGAGTGGCAATGCAGGAAGCATTCGCTTTCCACAGTTTTCTTGCTAGCATCTACACTTTGTTCCAATTTCATAAATCAAAACATTTGAAAGGTGGATACAAAACAAAGATGGAGTGTGTGTCTCCATGCATTCAACTACCAAGTCTCTGAGGACAACACACAGGTATTTCTATAACCAGTTCTCCTTCATCAGTGATGCCTTAAAAGGCATATTAGAAAAGCTATCATCTACTTGCTTACGCTATACGGTCATAAGGAAAAGATAAGTTATCAGTACTAGGGGATCGGTTCTCTCTAAGTGATCCTTCAGACCTGAAGAAAATGTTATCAATACCAATAATTTGGATATGGGCAAATTCATCCACTTCATCTGCTTTCCTCATGTGCCGTCATTGACATGAATGCAAATAACTGGGATGGGAGCACAAAGAGAATGAGGCCTTAGCCCATAAAAATGGCTTTTCTTTAACACAGCCACTACAAATCTCTGCTGCGTGAGTGGTTTGGGGCAAGATAATGCTACTATTTATGCTGCTGTGCATGCAAGTAACTTTCCTGCATTTAACAGAAGTCTGAGGTCGCATGAGCAGGATTTGGGTCTCTGCTGTGAGTTTATGGGTTGTTGTAAGGCATTTCATATCAGGAACAGCCACACTTACAAGGTTGTTTCCTCAAAATAAACTGTTGTTTGGTGTCTATTAACATTTGGCATTTAATATTTAATACGTTTTAATTTCTAACTGTAGTCTGAGACACCCACATAAAAGCACATTGCATGAACAGGCTGCCTTGGTGCTTACCTTTTCTTGCACTGGCCAATCAACATAAATATTACGAGGCTACTTGACAAACTCAGAATGACTGGAATGAGGATAAATAGCTGCTTGTCCTCTTTTCTGGACACTGCAAAGATAAATGACAGCAAATAAAAAAATGCTAGCTTCCAGAACGGGTCATATTACCTCTTACAAAGCTTGGGCTCAGATGCAAACTCAGTGTGTCCACATTTGTTACCCTTTCTTTCTTTGTTTATTTATTTATTTATTTATTTATTACAGATAGATCCAGGTATATGTTACTGTATCGGGTAACATACTCCTTCAGCGTAACATATATCCTGCATACATATGTAGGCACCGCTATGTTACTCTTCCCTGCCTTCTGCACCTTGCAGCAGAGCCAGTGCACACAGGGACAGCCCTATAGAGCCTATGGGGTGCAAAGGTGCTGATCCGTGGTGTGGGGCAGCCAGGAGGATGCCCTGTGGAGAGACACCGAGTAACGTGCCCTCTCTTGCAAAGCAGTCACTCCTCCATCACAGCTGTCTTTGTGCAGCGGGGAAAGGTGCTGGTGCAGAAGCATTAATATTTTGGGGCTCGCCAGCTAAGTGCACTGGAGATGCAAAGCTGTAGGAATGGCTGTGCTGCAGTAGGTTGACACTGTAACTAAACCAGGATCCCAGCTCCAGTGCTGGACACCAGCAGATGCTCATGGTAGCCACTGGCACTTGGTCCCAAACAAGCTTTATAAAGGATGTAAAAGAAATGCTGGTTACTTTGGATTCCATACCAGAGAAACACTCCTGCGTCCATTCACTCCAAAAGCCCTGGTCAGCACAGAAAATATTTGTTCTCCCCCTGACACGAACACATGAAATGTGGCTTTGATTTGCTCTGGAAATTGTTAAAGCAGTCTCCATTTGGGTTGACACAGACTGAGAAACAAAACAGAGAGAACAAATGTCAAGGAATTACATGTCACCACCAGTAGTTCTCTGGCATGGCCAGATGTTTCTGAACATAATCTCCAGGCTCTGCAAACCCTTGGATTATGTTTTGGCAGTTTTAAATGATTTCATAATAGTTTTGGACCAGCTAATGCCAAGAAGATGACAATGGAGATGAATCTGAAAATACATACATTCTGGGAGGCACCATCGTGTATGTTGCCATTTCTGCCTGTTAATTTATGGAATCTTTCATTAAATTAGCTAAGACGACTCGTGTAGAATATAGCACTAAAAGAAAAAATTTCCTTCAGATGCCCCCTATGATTAATTAGTTCTTGCCATTTTTGCTATCAAAACTGCACCTGGATAATGCACAAGGAAAAAGCACCATGCATAAAAGACATGTTGTGTCCCAGGCCACTTCTTTGGAGAGACTGGAATTATAGTTTCATTGGACCATCATCACCATTTCCATGATGACAGCTTTCTGAGATAACAGGCTGGAGGCCTGAGAAAGCAATTGCTCAGAGACTCATGCTGGGATGTGTTACTGCTAAAGCAAATGCTGCGGCTGGAGGTCAGGGTGTTAAGTAGGAGCACGTACAATGGAGCAGCTGGTCAGCACCAGATAATGTCTCTGCACAGTCCGTGCACAGGGTAGCTAACACCCCATCTGCAACTCAGTGCGAACCCCAGTTTTCCGGTGTGCCTCCTCGCTGCCGGCCATCAGGCAGGGCCCCCCACCCCGAACCCCCTCCCTGCGGCACAGCGCGTGCGTCCCTACCGCCCAGGCAGCCTTGGCCTCCTCCAGATCTTCTGCCAGCTGAACCTCGTACTCCAGGCACTGGGGCGGCGTTTCGCCACCCGGCGGGCCCCACGCCACGTGGAGCTCCTCAGATGCCGACATGGAAACCACCAGCTGCTTCGGGGGCGAGGGCTTTGCTGGGGGGGCAGGGAACACAAAGAGAGACGGTCAGGCGGTGCAATCGAACAGCTTCTGGTGGGAAAGGCTTCAGTTAATCACTGCCAACCCCTGGCCCTTTTCCCTGTTGATGGGTTTTCTGAGCTCCCATTGCTATCAGCCATGATGCTGCAGGAGCAGGATGTCACTGAGGCTGGAGGGTAGTAGTTTTATTTTAACGTGACACGTGGGCTGGGCTAGGTCCATTGCTCTGAGCTGCGGTGCAGGGGTTTTAAAATGCTGGGGTGTGAGTGCTGTGCTTGGCACCACTGCGCCCTGGCGCTGCGAGGGCAGCCTTGGCCCCTGCAGTAAGACACTGCAACAGTGTTGGCCTGATGCTCTCTGCATCCCAGGAGAGGCTCTGGTTCATGCCAGATGCTGAAAACCACACATGAAGCACATGGCAGCACTAATTGAATGCAGAAATCCTGCTTATTAGCCCAGTGGCTTAACTGGAGGACTAGCTATTTATCCCTCTGGCATTTACATGTGGGTAAATGCATCAGCATGGTAAGTGCCCATAATAAAGAGTGCATATATTGGGTTATACATCATGCTGTGTTTTGCTTCCTTTCCCTGTCTCTGATGGGTTTGAAATCCACTTTTGCTCTGGCAGACCCCCATCACACCTTGCACTCAATTCTCCCCAGCCCTTAGCTTGGTTTGAACAGAAAATCCCAAAGATCTCTCCTGTGGTTGCAGGAGCGGAGCAGTGGTTTCAGTTCCAGCAGGAGTATATGAAGCCACCTCTGTGGTGGTGCTGCTAGAGCCAAAAACCCCATAGCTGCTCTGCCATCTGCCCAGCAGACCATTTATGTCCCAAGTTGTCCAGCTGCCAAGCACAGCACTTGGAGGCACCCACTGATCCTCCAGGGTGCGTGCTGAGTGGTGGTGCTCACTTGCAACCACTGCTGGAAACTGAAGTCCTGTGTGGCACATGCCACAGTCCCTTCTCCAGGGGGAAATCCACCCAGACACATTACAGCCACCCATCTACAAGAGCACACATTTGTTTGAGCCCCCTTGTGCAAGACGTGAGCCTTGGGTTCGTGGTGGCCATGCGGGTCCCCAGAAAGAGCCCCAGTGCTTTCCTGCCAGTGTTACCTAGGTTGTGAAGGCGAAGGGTGACATACAACGGCCGTAGCAGAGTGGCTGCTGCTGAACCATTGACACAAATGCTCAGATCCTTATATTCTGCCTGGCTCAGATTTTGCAATACGCAGCCGATGTTTATATCATGATCCTGAATATAGTCATCACACTGCACTGCATGGCTCAGTCCCTCGTACCTAGCAATGTATTAGGAAAACAGAAAGAAAAAAAATAAACACAGAAATGGCAGTCACTACTTGGATAAGGCCTTTTTTTAAGATTGGACCTGTCTCGAGTATTGCCTATATCTTACCCACACTTTGCCTTTCACAAGTGATCCAAAGCACAGTGTTATGCATCTGTCACCTGGACTACTGCTATGGGAAAAGTGTGGGGAGAAGAAAAAAACCAAAATAATATGCACAGATGGCTTCCCAGGTTGGTTTGTAGGCTGTGTCAGCCTCTCCCCATGCCCATTGCTGGAGCACAAGAGGCCTCATGAGGTGCCACTGTGTGAGTGAAGCCGGGGCAGGATCTGGCCCCTACTCACAGAGACAGCCATCCTCCCATGCGGCACTTACGGCAGCATCAGCCGCCAACTCTGGAACTGCAGAAAGGTCTCCTCCCAAGCCAAAATGCAGCGGTTTGTGGCAGGTGACATGTCCCATGAATGTAATGAGGGTTAATGAGCTGCTGTAGCTGATTGCTCGTAGGTCCCATGCATCTACATGGACATGTAATGGAAACCCAGGGGTGGGAGCGAGGAAGGGTTCTGCTGGTTATTAGCTAATGTGCAACCACAACCCGATCCTCTCAACCTGCCTCCTGTCTTTGGGGGCCACTCCCCAAAGCTTAGCTGCTGGCCCTGTCCTGGAAGTACTAAGTGGTGTTTCATATTACCTTTTAAGACTCCTGCTGGTTAGTGCCTGGTTTTGTTACAGGCAGTTTAAGGGTGGGTTTGCTGGGGATTTTTTTTGTGGTTTTGGGGGTTTTTTTTAAGGAACAAATCATGAATTTCCATGGTTTCCTTCAAGCAGACCTTTGTAGTTAGCAAAATGTTTTTAAATCAGTGTTTCTGCTTTGAAGACTATTTCCAAGAGTTACATGGAAACTCTTTTTAAAAAGCAACTATGATTTTCTACACGTAGCCCAAAGGTGTGAAACCCAATGATTTCCTAACTAGTCATCCTTACCATAGTGTCATAGCAATTGAAGCACAAATACAGCATTTACTTTGCCCGAAACCACTAAGTCTGGCTTTGTTTTTCTTGCAGAACAGAATCATCAGGCAACAGTATAAAAGAAATGACTGAGAAACATGCATTATTACTACCTTTCGGCAGCATGTTTGCTTGTATGAAATGTGCTAAGGCTATGAAAATATATTTGAAGACTAAAACTGTTAGTTGCCAAGAAGCCCTGCTCTTTGTATAGGTTTCACTGAGCTTGGTACCCTCCTGCTGAATCCTATCTTATAGAGATATATGCACTGTGATCAAGGGAAATGTGCAGCCAGAATGATCCAGGTATGTTCAGCAAAGGGAAAGCACAAGGCTTCGTGATGGACAACATGCAGAAACCACTCCACGGGTGTGAATAAAAGGCAAAAGAGGAAGGGAGAAGGCACTCCCTGTAGAAGGTCAGCACGAGCCTGATTTTAAGAAAGGAAGCAGGGATTTGGTATTTCCTTGCCCAAAGGCACATGTTGCTTGGTGCATTATTTCTGCTCATTCTGGGTGGATCATGTAATAGCATTGCCTGAGACGTTCACTTGATTGCTGCCTGAATGTTTTTCTATTTTGCTGAGACATACCAATAATATAGCCCATAATGTACGCCATGAGGAGCGAGGAGACCTGGTTGCCAAGTGCACTTGAGGTATTCCCAGTCATGATAGACACAGTGAAAATTCTGAACCTCTGATTCCAGTTTTCCTGTCAAATGAGAAGGAAATAACCACTATTTAGCAATGTACCAGTCAGGCCCAGCAGAAATATCATTTTACATCTTTGAACAATTGTGCTGCAGTTGAAAGACAAAAAAGCAAAAGAAAAGGCCAGTCACCATTATTAGTTTTGCTGCCAAGTGCTCTGTTTCCTATAACAGCCAGTTCACTGTACCTAGAGCAGAAAGATGCATAACTGACCTTTTCATTCAGCCATGGAGCTCGTGCAGGGCAACCCAGCAGAGCCAGGGTACGGGCAGAGGGAAATGAGCCCCAAGGATCCAGTAACCACAACCACAGCCAGTGGAAGCAGAGATGCTCTGGTGTCTTATACTTCAACAAGCCCTGCAATGGCTTATCCACCCAGCAACCCTCAGGCCAGCAGTGGTTCATGCAACAGGCTCATGCAAAGTGCAAAACTACACCAGGTGCTGAAGGCTGCTCCTAACCTTGCAATGGGACCTGAAAGGTAGCATAAATCCAGTCACTTTGCACCTCCACATCATCAGTACACCGTCCTTCCAGCAGTGTTTGCACCTTCACTTCAGCAGTCCTGCTGAGGTCAAATCCAACTCTGAATTTTAGCTTCCTAGTAAAAATAACCTGGTTGAAAGACAGACTTTATAAGCACCTCTTTTGTCACTAAGTGGACTGCAGAATTAGCTACCATTGCTCCTGCTCTAGCTGTGAGTAGGCTCATTTGTGTGCTTTAATGGTTCTTTACATTTCTGTCCTGCTTCTCGTGCCCAGTGCTTCTCCAGCACTCTCGTACCACCTGCTCTGCCCAGCCTCACTGGCTTTGAGTCGCTCCACCTCACAGGACACCAGCAATGACAAGACAGAGCAGACTGTGGTTCAAGGGATCCCCACCAGCCAGGAGCACCGGCGAGGGTCTGGCGAGGAGACCACTGTAAATCCAGATAACAGGCACTTGTTTGTGACGTGAGGTAATCAGAAACAGAAGGAAGAAAGAGTCTTGTAACTGATGGTTCCCACGGGAAGCACAACCACACCCTGCGAGCACGGAGCAGCAGCCAGGCAGCGCAGTGCAGGCTCACCGCTGCATGCCGTTGGGCTTAGCCCTTTGTGGGACTTTTTGAGCAGCGCCTCTAAAGGTATTTCTTTTTTTTTTTTCCCCTCAGACTTACTCCCCCTTACTTTACGCAAGGGAAAAATAACAAGAGTTGTTGGCAAGAGTTACAACAAATGACGAGAAGGAGAAGGTGTCGCATTAGCCCAAGCAGGAGAGAAGTAATGTGCCGTAAAATGCATACATGTGCTGCAGCAAGAACTGCAACGGCACAGCCCACAGTCAAGCTTTTTGTCAGCAGTCCTGGAGTGTAAGAAAGAGCCATGTTGAGCCATGTGTTTCTAACAGACATTGATGACTCTTGCTTCCACTGATGTCCCATGGATTTTTTTTCAGACTGACTCTTCTTTGCGACCTTAACTGGGGTCAAGGTTTTGGCAAGGTACCAGAGGTGTACTTTTCTACTTTTTTAGATCTGCCTTGTATAAGATACTTTTATTACATGTGATTTATGGAATTGTTTTATAAAGCTGCATTTTTTTTTCCTCTGTGCTTTTTAAATCCTAGTTAAAATCATCATAGAAGAATCTGCACAGCTGCACACTGCTGTGTGGCTTGGAGAGTGATGTGCGTCATGACTGATGTCAGGTCAAAGAGCCTTGTTCCATGCTCTTGCAATTACAAATCATAGCTGAAACAGCATGGGAGGTACCCTGCTCTTCCACCTCTGCAGGTTCCCATGGGATGGCTGGGCCAAAACCTGTTTGTGTGTAGCTGAGCACAGCCTGGCAGCCTCTTTGGGTTGGGGGGAAGGGGTTGCAAGGGTGGCTCCCATGAGAAGCTGCTAGAAGCTTCCCCAGCTCCACGTTGGACCCGCTGCTGGCCAAGGCTGAGCCCATCAGCAATGGTGGTAGTGCCTCTGGGAGAACAGATTTAAGAAGGGGAACCTGCAGTGGGGAAGGAGATTGGAATGTGAGAGGAACCCCTCTGCAGATACTGAGGTCAGTGAAGAAGGAGGGCAGGAGGTGTGCCGGAGGAGGGGATGCCCCTGCAGCCCGCAGTGAGATGGCAGGCTGTCCCCCCCCAGCCCGTGGAGGGGAGCGGGGGAGCAGATGCCCACCTGCAGCCCAGGGAGGACCCCACGCCGGAGCAGGGGAAGAGCGAGGAGTCCTCCCCCTGAGGAGGAAGGAGCAGCAGAGACAATGTGTGATGAACTGACCACAACCCCCATTCTCTGTCCCCCTGTGCTGCTGGAGGGGAGGAGGGAGAGAATCTGGGAGTGGAGTTGAGCTGGAAAGGAGGAAGGGGATGGGGGAAAGTGTTCTAAGGTTTGGTTTTACTTCTCATTATCCTGCTTTGATTTGAATGGTAACAAATTAAATTGATTTTGTTTTTTTCCCCAAGTTGAGTCTGTGTTTTGCCCGTGACTATAATTGGCGAGTGATCCTCCCTGTCGTTGTCTTAACCCACAAGCTTCTCTTTATATTTTCTCCTCCTCATCCACCTGGGGCGGAAGGAGTGAGTGAGTGGCTTCATGGTGCCGGCTGGGCGGAAACCATGACACAGCCTTGGCTCTGCTGCCTTGTGCGGATGAAGCGGATGACCAGCTCATGCAGGGCATGCCGAAACCGTTCACAGCAAGAGGCTGGGATCCACAGCACTGCTAACCCAGTGTGACTGCTCCTTCTCTCTCTCCCTGGTCTCTGGAGTTGGCAAGCTGTCTAGCACGCCTGCTTCAGGATTGTGCAAAAATCCTCCCTTTCTTTGAGGACACCAGTCTGTATTTTGGGTTGTTGGGGGACATCCTCAGCATTTTTTTCATGTGTTCCTCAGTACCTTGTGCCAACCAAACAGCTTACTGATGTGTTTCTCCTCTCCCCACTCCATTTACCTTCCTAATCCTGCAGCAGCTTTCATCTTCCAAGCACTCCCAAAATACATTCCTACAACCCTTCCTGTACTGTGCCTGTCTGCTATTGTGCTGCTACACATCAACGAGAGAAGACTGACAATTTTATCATAGAGCTGAGTTAGAGTCAACATATCTAAAAGACAAAAGTAAATGGTAATTAGAAACACCCTTCTGGATAAAGGGAATGTTAGAGCATTAGGCTAATTAATTAAATTTAATCTTTCATTTATTCACCACTTTGCATCCCTAAGGATCTGTTGACACTGCGTTTCACTTCAAGCCCCGTAAAGACTTTCTAAAACATGCAGTGCCTTTTACAATGAAGAATGCTACCAAATATTATTGGATTATTTTTGGCAGCAAGCACCACACCCTCTGACAGAAATAGCCCCATCTCTGGCTGCTGCTGCTGTTACATTTTGAAACACATTCTTATCTGGCAAAAGATTCAAATAACTGGAACAGTCTGGCTTTTTCATGGAAAGCTGGAACTGTTTTGGTACCACTTCTCCTTCAAATGCAAACATAAACCTATGCAGAAACTAAAGGCAGAACAATAGCCTGGATTTAAGAGGAGTAAACCGTGCTTTGTCTTACCTTCCAGTCTCTGTCACCAGCATTGCGGTATTCAAACCTGTATTTTACTGTGCATTCACTGAAGGTTTGTACATTGGGTGGAGGTTTCCACTCTATATCGAGAGAACCTAAGAGTCCAGGATCAGTGATCTGAAGGTCTTGTGGGGGAGCAACTACATTGAAAACAAAGCAGAGGGTAAAACAGAGTGTCAATGTAAAGAAAAAAAAAAAGTTGTGACATTTGAGGAGATGACAAATGCAGCTGCTGGATGTGGAGGGAAGCACTGCTGGTCCAGGTCCAGCCCTGGCTACTTAATAGCCTGTTCTCAACAAACAGACATAAGCTGTACTCCTGTCTACCCCCCAAAACCCAGTTTTTGCTGATGCTCAGAGGAAACACTCAAGGACCATTGAAAGACACAAAGAATGCCACGCTCTTTCAATTGACACTCTTTCAAGATGTTTTAAGCAAAACTACTGTTCTGGGATGACCTTTCAAGTCCTGTATTTGCTTACTTTTAACTCCTAATGTTTACCACTGTCAGGACAAGTATCCTTGCAAACATTGTATTCAGCACATACACCAACATAGAATGACAGATCACAGCATGCTGTCAGGGAAATTTATATTCCTGAACTGTAACAGACACAAATCACCCATATTTCTTTAAATATTCCTTTCAAGTATATTGAAGATTAATGAAAAAACAAGACAAAACCCATGCAGAAGCAGAAAAGCAGAGAGTTGCTATACAAAAATGTGCTTTTACAGTCAATCTGGCTTTTATTAAGCTATTGTAAGGTGCTGCCATATGTTAATAAATCAGCACATATTATGGATGAATTCTGTACTAAGACAGGCTTCCTAAAAGCCCAGCTCTGTATGGACCTGTCATTCACTTTGCTTCTAAGGAAACTTTCCCAAATGAAACACACCTTAGGCAGCAGTCTTAAGATCCCACTTTACCCAGCATGAAAAGCTCCATGGGAGATTTGTTGTTACGTTAGATGGCAAAGTAAGATATCATGTCAGTGTATTTAGGGGGGTGCTGGGGCAAGAAACAATAGACTACAATAATTTGGAGAAAAACTAGATTTTTTTTCTATTTTTCTGTGTAAGTAAAACACTCCCACCAGCTGTGAGTCCCATGAATGCAGCCTGGACTCAAGAGGGTGGTGGTGGGCTTGCTCCAGCGCCAGGGGCAATGGGGCATGGCCCTGCATGTGCGACATCTTGTATTCAGCAGCCCCGTGTTCCTGCAGGAGGCGAGGGTCTGATCTCGCTATGCTACGACAGGCACAGATTTTCCAGCACGAGCAGAGGAGGGGGAATAGGGGCACAGGCAGCTCTGCCTGTGCAAAGAGAGCTCAAGCTGGGCTTTTGGTGACCATCAGAGGTAGGGGTGAGGTGAGGGCATCTCACTCACCTCCTGGGTCTTGGCAAACATGCAAAGGATCCAGGAGAGGGATAAGCAGCGTGGGGGACAGCAAGCCTGTGGGAATGGCACTTGAAGACCTGCAGCTGCTAAAACATGACTGAGTGGCTCATCCAGAAAGACCATTTATAGCCATGCCAAGGAGGGAAGGGAGAGAAGGCGAAGAAGGGGTGTTCCTCCCACCAGCCAGCCTGGGCTGAGGGCCCGCCAGGGCCGGCACGAGGGAAGGTTTCCACATCGCGAGCGCACCATGTCCTAGAGTCGAACCCTGTTATGGTGGCTGGCACACGTAATTTCCATAACAGGCTGGCCGAGGAGATCTGCTGCCAGGGCTGCAAGCTGGACTCGCCTGCGCTCAGGAAGCTCCTCCTGAGTGGATAAATGCTGAGCCTTGCAGCTATGCAAACAAGGAAGCAAAAAGCTACTAGCCTTTGTCATGGGCCTGGTAATAAGCTGTCAAGAGAGGTTTAGATTGGTCAAAACCAGAATTTCTTACTGGAAAGTTTCCATCCTGAGCTTGAACAAGACAGTACTATTTTTTCAAAACAATTGCAACTGTAAACAGCAGTTCTTGCAAAATAATTTTTGAATGGATTTCAGAAGGAATGGCAAAGCTTCTTTCTGGGATGTGGCTTGCGTTCTAGAATTTGATTGTTTTTTAAATGTCAGCACTGCTTCCTGCAGTTTCAATATTACATGACAAACCAGCTTCACTCACATCATTCATACAGAACACAGGACTAGAAATACTCTGGTTTGTTACTGAGTCTTGAAGGAAAGCTGCTCCTGAATGTTTCTTGAGGAAAAAACACCCAACAACTTCTCTACCTGATTTGCATGGTGGTGAGTCAGGTAGTGATGTGCTGGCTAGACAGCCACAGCCCTCATGGCCACCCGCTCCTGGCTGCCATGCACACTCACTCGAACATCGCAGCTTTGATGACGAACTGCCTGCTTATCCCCAGCTGCCTCCCGCTGCCTAGCCCCATGCCATGTCGTGCCTTATGTGGTACAAGCAGCAGGCAGGTTTGCTATTTTCTGCCTATTTTGCCAGTGGAAAAATGGCAGCCTGCCACGTGCTCCCCATATCTTCTATGTCTGCACTTCTCTGTGATGGTCAGAGAGGTGCAGGCAACTTCTGTGTTTTGAGAAGCCCATTTTAAAGGCAATGCTGCTTTGCTTGGCGTGGCAGCGGCACGTTTGCTGGCAGCTTTCTATGCATGCTGGCTGGCAGGACAGGAGCCTCTCAGTGCCCTCCTGGCCAAGTTTTCACCTCTCCACCATGCAGCAGCTGCAGCAGGGATGGCCAGATCTACTCACCATCTCTCTGAAGAAGAAAAGCTTTTGGGTGCAAAGTCCCAGCTCCCAGAGGCCAAAAGGGCTGGCAGGTGCAGTACAGCAAAGAGGTGCTCAAGGGCTTGAAGCAAAGGGTGCTTGAAGTGCCATTGCCATGGATCATAGCTTGCAAAGCAGTATTTTTTTAGAAGAAAGTATTATTCTCCAATTATGGATAAGACTTGCATTTCTTACACCTAGCACAGTCTGTTTGTCTGGAACCACATTCAGGAGCATTTATGTATCCACGTGGTATTTATATTTAATAACTCTATATCAAACAATATACCAAAGGCAGCTTCTGGTCCTTTTGAAGTTACTCAGAAAAATATCCACTAAACACACAATATATTTACACAATTGATTACAGGTTTATAAATCAGCCACTTGCTGTAACACACACAAGAAAAGCTTCAGTTGAAGGACTAACTTCATAAAGGGCCCCAGTTAATGTGAAGCCTACGTTATGCAGCAACGCGAACAACACGCCGGGTTTTACCTGTGGTGTGGGAGGAGGAGGAGGAGGAGGACGACGACACCACGCAGCCCCACACCAGCACCACGGAGAGCATGTAAAGCCACCGGAGAGCCATTCCGAGGTAGGACGGCAGGGATTCCTGCTGGAAGGTGTGTGGCATCAGAAAAGCAGTCCTGCAGCACGTGTGCAAGGAGGCTGGAGAAATAAAGCAGTGTTGAAAGGCTTCAGCACATCGGTGGGGCCCTGGCATTCCCTCTGCAGGGTGAGCACTGACAACAAGTGCCTTTTTACTTGTTTACCAAGTCTGATTAATCATTTCCCAGAGGACTTTTTTTATTTGTAATTTTTGGGGCTGACAACACATGGATGACTTGAGCTTCATTTGAAATAGTTTCTGGCTAGCTAAGCACATTCTCCGAAGGCACGTCAGCCTGTACTTCAGTCACCAAGCCGTCTGCTGCATGTCTTCTGTGGAAAGAGTAACGCAGCCAAGCAACTAACCTGCCTGCCATAGGAAGTGCCTCGGACCAATGGCATTTTCATTAAAAAAAAAAAAAAAAGAGAATGCCTGAGCATTACCTTATTCAAATCAATAAACAGACACATCTTATGCAGCTGTCACCAGTGCTTTTGGCTATCCTGTTTAAGGATTTGGTGACTAAAAAGAAAAAAAAAAAAAGGAGATAATTTCCTTTCTAAGTCACTCTCCAACAAAAAAACCCGAAATGGTAGGAATGCTTGTGAGAAATCTTCTTAGCTGTCATGATAATTTTGGAAGGGGAAAAATTTCTCTTCCTGAGCAGGTCTGCTGGAGGGAGGCTGAGAGGGACAGAGGAGCAATTTCCAGGGGGGACTTTTCTCCTTCCTTCAGATTTCATGCTGAAGGTGGGTAGGAATCGCTGTTTATGGACACACCAACCCAGCCTGCTTCCCTATGCCAGAAAGCACATGGATTACAGGTAAAAATAATTTTTTTTTTCTTTAATTTTTACATATAGATACAGGTATAGGTATAGATTAGATAGAGGTAGGGAAAGAGAGAGATCATATACATTAGATATTGATATAAATCTTTCTGAAAGCTTGAGACCACTGCTTCAGCTCTGCTGCTGTAAGAAAACGGCAAGATCTACATGAACACACACTGAGCTCTTTTCAGATTACAAACTCGCTTTACATTGTCTACAGAGCTTGACTATAAAAGGTGGACACCCAGGTCATGCTCTGGCATGGCTGCTTACTCCTCAGCACCTCTGGCTACAGTGCAACAATACAAAATTAGGGGTCTGCTGAAAGGCAGAGCTTCAAGACAGAGGGACCTTGGGAAATCTGAGGGTTGGGGCCAACAAAAACCCCATCATTTGAAGAAGAAGTGAGGAGACAGGTTGGGGGCGAGGGGGGAAGGGAGTTTAAATTAACCAGAAATACTAACTGGCAACACATGGCAGCAACTAAAAATACACAACAGTTTTAACAGCTAATTTTCAATTTAAATCAATATCAAATCCCTCCAAGTCCATTACATAAATGTAAGCAATACCAGTAATTTTTCTGTTTCACTGTGAGATGAGAACATATGGAGAAGTTCCAGTCAGAAGAAATGACCGGAATTACTTCCTAACATATTGAACACAACATAAAACTTGTCTCAGTACAAACCCGGCTGTATGCATAAGTCTCTGCCTCGGAAAGGTCTCATAATTAAGTAGCAGGATGCAATGATAAGGAGAGCTGTCTTACAGAGCCGGGAAAAGCAGCAGCTATAACTCACAGCTGGTGAGTAACAGCATCCCAGGACTGTGCATGAATATTAGTGGAGGAAGCTTTTTCCATTTCCAGTACAATTAATTTTAACATATTCACATGGTTTCATAAGGCAAGTAAAAATAAACAAAGGCTTACACAGAAAGATTTTAAACCAGCAAAGTGCTCTTACCTGGACCTCTAAGTACATGGCAGCCTGTCTGCCTCTGGAGTGCCGAGCGCCTCAGCAGCCTCATAGCTGGTCTGCTCAAAACTTTGCATTTGGTAGAAATTTGGAGGTTTTTAAAGAGGCCCGACTGTTCTCTTCAGGGATCAGATGCCACATTGCAATGCTACAGCTCTTGCCTTTAGACGCTTTAATAAGCTAGCACCAGAGATGACACTGATTTATGAGGTGTTGGTGCTAATTGTTGCTATAACTGTGCTAAAGTAGGTCAAAAGTATGTTTGAAATGTTTAAATGACTCATTAAATGCCAGAGGCTGCCTGACCCCCTCGCAGCGGTGGCAGCACACAGCTGTCCCTGGCACCTGGGAGCCGCGGCCCACGCAGCACCTTAGTCCATGTAGCTCCGGCCAGTGGTGCCCTGGGGCCAGCCCCAGTTTGGCCCACCACAGCACCTCGCTCAGAGCTTGCTGGCGTTGCTGGCTCCGGAGACAATCCAGCTGCTCCTGCCCCTCAGGGCTCTGCAGAAAATACGTAAAATTACCCATCCCCTCGCTCCTTTCCTGTGGACTAGGCACATCAGCACTGCTGGTCAACATGACCCTTGTATAGCCTTGCCTGTCACCATTTACTTCATCTCTCCTTCCCTGCATCACACTGTGAGCCCTCCCTCACCCTCAGCCTGGAGCACCCTTTACAAGGAGTGGGTGCTTCAACCACACCTGGTTTGCCCCAGGTGAGAGCTCTGATACTGAATACACCTCGCTGAAAAAACATCTCATGATTCCTGTTGCTGTGCTAAAGGATCAGCTAATATATGGGTGGGTCATCTCCATGTTGCCTTGCGTGAGTCAAGGGAAGTTGGTTGCAGCAACTCCCCTCCAGGAGGGACAATAAAGGACGTTTCGGGAAGAGTGGAGGTGTGGAGTGCGTGCCCCAACAAGCAACGGGCTGTGGCTGAGGCTGGATCTTCCCATGGCCAAATTTGAGCATATTGAGAAACAGTTCAGACATACTAAGAACATGAGAAACAGCATCAGCAACCAAAGGAGCACTTCTCGTTAGGAAGAAAACTGCTCTCCAAGCACCTGTACAAGACTTACGGTATCGCTGTTTGAATTGATGCTCGAATGAATGTGTTATTGCTTCCCACTTGGAGTCAATGGGAATGTTCTGGAGCAGCAAAGGCAGGATCAGGCCCCTTCCCAGCTGCCAGTTATCCTCTCCATTTCACTGTGCGTGCACAGGTAGATGCGCGCTCAGGCAGGGCAGCACTGCCAGCCTGCTGCGTTGGCTGTGCAGACCTGAGGGAGGCACAGTCACTTTTCAGGTGTGAAGCCATTCCCATCACATCATAGCTATTTGGTTCTGGCTCTAGTAAGATGCTTTGAAGGTAGGTACCAATGGAAAGAGCATGACCATCCTTCACACTTTGAACTTTTTGAACTTTCAAGGCAGTTGTAAGCAAAATTTCAGAACCTTTTTACCTTTCGCTACGCTAAAGATAAAAAGTGATCCCATACGTCTGGTTATAGCAACTACCTCCCAGAACAGACACCAACTGCTGTGTGCTGGGTGAGACCACAGCTTTGAAAACAGATGAGAGTAAGGAAGAGCACTTGGACTATGAAGACCAGTTAGTCCTAATGGGCGCCAACGGGAGGTCTGAAGTGAGGGACCAGGAAGCCCATGACCCACTACTATCCTGATCTGCGGTGTCGTTTGGTTGGGAAACAGGCCCAGAAAGCCATGGGGGCTTTGCCCGTGGTTGTACACTACTAGAACAGGTGAACAGCCACTTGCTTTTCATCTTTCCAAAGCAAAAAGCAGCAGGAATGGGTAGTACAAACCCTGTTGCCTTGAGTGCCCATGAATTTTGGAGGTGAGGGGGTTATGGGTGAGTTCTCCCTTTGCTGCAATTACACAGTGCTGGCTGTTTCCTTCCTACTTTCTGTGAAGGATGGACAAAAAAAGTCCCTTGTTGCTGGTAAATGTATGGCCCTGCTTTCAGAGTTATGCAAGATTAGGATTTAACATTCATGTATTTTCACTGTGTAAGCTACTTAAGCAGAAAAGGTCGCACTGGACAGATCATTTGAAACAGATGAGAAACATATGCCAGTAGGGTGAATGCCAGTTCCTGAGTGCTAGAACTGGGTCAGTTCCTGAGAAAATTAGGTTGGAAAAAAAACATAGTTGGGATTTGCAACAATAAGGCTTCATGACGCAGCCAGCAGCGCTGGAGCACCCAGGGAGGAGCAGTGAGTGGAGCTCCTTGCTGAGAAGCGCCTGCCAGTCCAGCCTCCTCCCACTGCCCTCCTGCCTAAACCAGCTCCCTTTGCAAACTACAGATACTTTTCTTGTCCCCTCCTTGTGCCTGTACCTGACGCTTGTGGTGCGTTCCTCCCCTTGCCAGTGTTAATGCAATGCCCACGCTGGTCTGGTCCGGGAGGAGGAGGTCGGCTGAGGGCAAGCTGGGGAGGATCTGTGCCCTGTTCCAGCGATGCTGAGTGGAAGCACTGCCCGTGGGCGGGAGAGAGAGCGGTGGCTTAGGGCACAGCTCTGCAAAGGCCACGTGCTCAGACCTTGGCTTATTTTGGCCTTACTGGCTGTAGCTGCCAGCAATGCCCTAGCAAGCTGTGGGAAACAGAGGGCAAATCCCTGCACGTGCTGGACCAGAGCTTCATGGCCTTGAGCTCAGGGCAGGGACAGGCAGGCCATTTGCATCATACTAACTATTCTGCAAATGGGGTTAAGTTGCAAAAAACTCCTGCATAAGGTGAAGGCAAGCTCATGGAAGAAGGGCATAATAAAAACATACCCGCTTTGGCTCACTAGCAAGCCCCGCACGCAGCTGGGAGGGTGCCCTGGCAAACCCCCCATACACTGAGCTGTCCCCAAGCACCGTGGCCGGCATAGCTGCTGGCTGGGCTCAGCCACCCACTGCTGTGCCCTGCGCCCACCTTTCCTCGGAGCCCCATGGTATCGGCAGCAAGACACCCCTGCGCGCAGCAATGGGCAAAGCCACGGGGATCTTTTTACTGTTTGTATGGCTGCCTTCCCCATCTCAACTGTATTTGGAAGCACCACTGACTTGTCTGCTTTGCTCACAAATGAGATTTTTGGGGGTTTATCAGCCGGGTGAGTGATCCTGGAGTCACTATGTGCTCATGAACATCTTGCAGGA